TATCCGTACATACGCACACACAAATACACATATAAATCAATTTTTTCTGAGGTATGCTATAATGTTTAGAAACTTGCGAAACGTGAAAGAAAAATTATCATTTTCAATTTTTGGACGAATAATCAGGGGTATTATAATATAATACATTGTCATAATATACAAAATATAACTCGTAATATAACACTAGTTTTTGTATCATTCATTTGCCGATTAGATCTTTGCCTACTTTGCATTCATTTAGGCCAAAAAATATACAACTTTATTTTTTGTTTTTATTATTGCATTAATAATATTCGGAAAGCTGTATAAATCTAATTTATTTAAGGGGGTTGTTCTTTTTTTATTTTTCTTTGTTTCGGTTTTGAGATTTTTTGATATTATGAAAGATAAAAACCTTAGAATCATTTCAAAAAAAAAATCATCTCAATATCTATTTTTTTGACGAAGTTATAGATATATATATCTCTATATGTATGATCCTCTGAAAGCGTTTTTTTATCGCTCCGCGAGCTATTGTATGCCAGATTCCTCTTTTTCATTATAATACCTCATGCACATGACCTTTTTAATGTGCCAGCATCTTTGAACACCATGGTGTATTTCGTACATTAAATTTAATGGTGTATTTAGTACATTATATTCAAAACTTTAAATACGTTTTTCTCAAATTGACTTTTTTCAATGCGGTGCCACAAATTAAACAAAAACTACAAGTCGGATCGACTTGCATTTTTCTTTAATTTGTTCACCACTGCAATACCGAGTCCCCCTACCTCAAACAACTTGATAACATTACGCAAAAAAATTTTGCGAAGGTTCTCGCCCCAAAAAAAGGCCTTTTTTGACACTTTTTTTTAAAAATAGCTGCCATTTTTTTCCTTCTTGCTTTTTTTCTTTCATTTTGGTAGGGGGACTGGAAACAAACTTCTTCTTCAACGTAATTTCTTTTTTTTTTGTTTCGGGCGATGCGCAACGGATTTATCTGTGGCACCGCAAAAGAGATCGATTTTGCAAGACCGACTTTGGCGCCCCCTGGTTAAAAAATGACGGCGCAGAAAAAAAACAAGAAAATCACGTAATATTCTATGATTTTGTAATTTTTGTTTAAAAAAAACCGCATGTCTCTATGATAAATACATTTCGAGAAAAAACAAAAACAAATACCTTGCATTTTTTGTAACGAAAAAAGAACAACCCCCTTAAAGCGTACGCAATATATCTGCGAAGGGCTCAAATATTGTAATTCTGTATATTTGTTTTTCACTGTGTTGTTTTCCTAGTATTATTACATTGATAACAAACTATATTATAAAAGTATACGAATATTGTGTTATTCGCACTCCACTGATTATTAACTTCCCGTAGGGTAAGTTATTGTAATGGGCCGAAAATCGGAATTGAAATTTTTTACATTTCTCGACGTTTTGAAGGTTTTTGAACGTTTTGGCATACCTCAGAAAAAATGGATGTGTGTGTGTGTGTGTGTGTGTGTGTATGTATGTATGGATACAAATTTTCGCCCACGTTTTTCGGGCGTACGGATCAACCGATTTGAATGGTTCAAAAAACATTCGATTCCTATTGATAGGGAAAAGAGCTGATTAGTTTTTGGCAAAGGCAGGTCCAGCCGTTTCGGAGATACGGAGCAAAGAGTGCAGAAAATAAAAATCGAATTTTTGAGAGAACGAAGTATCCGATTTGAATGATCTAAAAAACATTCAATTAGTAATGATTGGGAGAAGTGTTTATTAGTTTTTGGCAAAGGCATGCCCAGCCATTTTGAAGATACGGAGCTAAATATGTGAAAAATGGCAATTTCTGAGAGAACTAAGCGTCCGATTTAAATGATTCAAAAAACTTTCTGTTTGTCTTAACAAAATAATTGATGTTTTTTTTTTTTTTTAGTTTTTTGTATATCAAAAATATTTCAGATTTTATTTTTAATTCTGACTATAGTGCTATACACATACTATAAAGTATATATAATATACTTTACAAATAATTTCAACTCTGCAATTCAGTTTATATAATTCTTATAAATATTAGACAATGTTACTTATTTATTTATAATAATCTATTTGAAAACATTCAGTATTCCACGAACATTTCGTTACGGTACGGGAAGTTCCAGCAATTTGCCTTAAGGCACGATGCCATAATTGCCTCAAGACAGAATTCCACTTACAGCTAGTTTTAATTTTATAAGCTAAATGAATAATTCAGTATTCATTGAAGTTTATTCATATTCATTTATACAAAATATTTGGGTTAACTAACTTCAAAATTACGCATAATGTTTATGAATATATAGATTTATTCAAATTATTTGTATCTGTATAAAATTAGTGTGTATAACTTGTACGTGCTTTTTACAGATATATATGTGCCATGAAAGTATAAATATATAAATAATTAACGTTTTATATACATACATACATATATGTATGTACAAAAGAAATATGTATATAATATGCACCTGAGGATACGTTTATTTATTTGTTGTTTTTAAATTCAAAATTAAAAACAAATTAATTTAATTTTCGTAGCAGAAAATCTTAGTACCAAAAATGAAATTTTTTAAAACAGATTAATTTTTTTTAAACTTGGAAAAAAATAGATTTTTAAGAAAATTTAAATTTTTGAAATAAATTAAATTTTTGGAAAAAAACCTTTTTGAAAAACATATTTTGAAAATTTTGAACTTTTTTTCAAAGTAATTGCGATTGCACTGCGTCAGCTGCATAGAGACGAAATATCGAAGCGCGTAAGCGCCGCGTCGCGGTCTAACGGAGAAACGATGTTAATGGAACCCATAGAAATGTAAACAAAATAAATACACATTATTAAAATATCTATAAAATATCTAATAATTTGATGTGCAAATGTCTAATGATTATTTTTGACGTTCAAATGGCATTTTTTTATTTTTTTACTAGATCACGGAACCGCTAGATCTGCCTCTCTAAAAATTTAATCAGATTTTTATCTTTTCAATTCAAATAAAAAGTTTTTTGAATTGTTGCCAAAATAGTCTGAAAACAAAACCCTTTGTTCAAATCGGTTGATCGGTATTGAATCCCAAAATCGTCGACGAAAATTTGTACCCGAGCACACATACACATACATCCATTTTTTCTATGGTATCCCAAAATATTCAGAAATCTTTGAAACGTAAAGATATATAAAATAATTTATTTTCGATTTTTTTGCGATTACTATAACTTACCTTACGGAAAGTTAAAAATTTAGGCATTAAATTTAAAATTTGATTCAAAACGGTTTTAAAAAATATTTTATTTGGTTTCACAGTAATGTGAAATACTTCGACTATCATTTCAAAGAAATATTGATATCATTCAAGTATTTGAGAAATACTTCACATTTTTTGCGGGGATTTTTTATGTATTTTCCAGAGAGCTGTGATGTTTTTAATCAATTTCTTTGAATCATACTGCATAAATAGTAATAGGACTATTAGCATTGAAATTAATAGTTATTTAATATCATACAAATTTTAAAAAACATATACAAAACATGATTTGATTTTGACATTGAAGATGTTTTATATTGTTACAACGTACGACGCAAGCAAAACATTGTTGAATTATAGTAAAAATATGGTAACAAGGTCAAAAATATTAAATTATGAAAACGTTAAAAAAATGAAATACTGACATACAAGCATTATTGTGTACGCTTTGGTATGTATAAAATACGCTGGTTTAATAACTCTAATTAAACTTTAGTACACATGAATACAAATATACCTTGTAAAACGTTTTGATTCACAACCATCAAGCTTAATAAATATTTACACGACTATAAACCGCAATATACCAGATAGGTACTCAAATATAATTACCATTTTGCTATTCTTTGATAAACAATTGTTAGGGTTAGTTAAGCATAGTTGCTAAACTCGTTCTGTCACTAAAACAATTTCCATTAACTTCTAGAAATTAATTATTATTTTTAAGATTTAAGCTAAGTCTATGAGTAATAATATAAAGAAATAATGATTTTAAATAAAAATACTGAATATAATGGTAAAATAATTCCTAAGATACGATATTGTTTTGTAGAATCTACTTTTGGTTAATTATCAAAGAAAATTAATATAAATTTTGTTTTCTCTGTCAATAAAGACTATAAATATAGAACTGGTTATTAAAAACTTATTTTATTTCATCACTAATCTACATTGAACCTATGATTTCATTATAATTTCTTAGTGCTCAATTTGCCCCGCCTATGGGGTACATTGAGCATACTTGACTTTTTGTATTTCAACAGCTGTACCTTTTAAATTTTACTTATTACAAAAATTAGTATTAACACGTTTATTAAGCGATAAACAACAAATCCATTAAGCCGTATAGCAATTTATTGAGAGTTTTCGTTGAGGAGCTACATCCGTTTAATTATAAGTAAAAATTTGTTCAACAAGCCCCGCTCTACCCTACTAAGAAACTGACTGACCGCACTGGCCGCTTTTTACTAAAGAATATTCAGCACAGTTGTTTAACTGTTTATTAATTCCTGTTAATTCTGTTAATTCCGACAACATTTTGTTCAGGAACCTTTAAAACGTATATATAAATGAAGATAAATAAAAATTTTAATTTTCGATTTTTTGCGATTACTATAACTTACCCTATGGGAAGTTAAAATACATAGACTAAAAATCAAATTTTGCTCATATTCACACTTAACTTCAATATAGTATAGTATAATGTAATCATTTGTTGTCACAATTGGCCTTAGAAAAATGATATAATACATGTTCGAAGCATAAAGGCTTTTAGGATATAAGCGTTCATAAAAAAAAAATTCCACAGGCTTTTGCAGTGCAATAAAGACTAAATGAAGGTTGAGAGAAAAAATACATTCTGCATTTAACGGATAATGGTAATAAATAACAAATAATAAATATTTCTCGTCTAGTGATTTGAGTATCAAAATTTTAAATAAGTTGAAGTTATTTTTTTTTTCAAACTTACTGCGCTGAAGCCTTCTGTTAATTCGGCAAATTCAAGGGATCCAATCCAACGCTGGCAAAGAATTCACCAATGTTGTCCATGATGGCGTCAACTTGTTCATTAATATTAGCTGAAAGGCCGACATCATCTGAGTTTCTATAAAGGAGACAATTGTAAATGCCATTAACAAGATAATATCACATAAATTGTTCTAGTACAAAAACTGTAAAGCGATCTATAAATCTAAACGATCGACCTACTTCTGTGACTACTTTCGATGATATATATTCGCAGAGTTGACAAACATTTTGTGGAACCCTTTGGAGATAACATGAATTACTTTTTTCTTATTTTCTTGGACACATCTTCAACTTTCCGTAGGGTAAGTTACAGTAATAGCAAAAAAATGATTTTTTATATGTCTATACGTAGAAAAAATGGAAGTATGTGTGTAGGTGTAAATACAAATGCTTATCGACCATTCCATACCATCCGATTTCAATGGTTAAAAATATTCGATTCTTATTGATGGGGAGACAGGCTGATTAGTTTTGGCAGAGACAAGATATCAAGCAAATAGTGTAAAAATAACAGTTTTGAGAAAACGGAACATCTGACTTAAATGATTCGAAAAACATTCCACTTGTGTTGATGAAATAAAGATTTGGTTACATTTTTGCGAAGGCAGGACCACTGATATTGGAAACGCACATTTGTTTAAAAAATTTATTTTCAAATATGAGCTTGACAATTTTTTTTTTTTTTTTTTTTTATATTTCTTTATTTACAGCAATCAGAATACAAGGTATCCTATAAGCTATTGTGATAAATTTAACAAATACAAACACATGCATACGTACAGGCCCACAAACATACTCACACCCCCGTTAACAAAAAAAGAAATTATATAATAGTAACCACTTCAGCAAGTGGTATACTAGTTGGCTCAGGTCCTTCGGCCGTTTACTGGGAAAACTACGTATTTTAAGATCTAATGTTATGAAATTATTATATATACACTAACATACGTACATACATACGCACAGACATTCACACACACACTCTCTCAATAAAAGATTTATAAATATTTAATAGAGGTCACTTCATCAAGTAATGTTCTGCTTAAATCAAATCACTCGGCCATTTCTTCTTTAATCTCCTGATGTTTGGAGTTGCTAACAGTGGCGCCATTAGTGTGTTTGGATGGTTTTCGAGCTTCCGGTGATGTTTTTCACTGATTGATTTAATGACATCATTAACGAACTGTATATTTAGATCGTTATGGATCATTTGATTAGTTACGTACCAGGGTGCTCCTGTGATCAAACGAGTAATTTTTGATTGCATCCGTTGTATAAGAGCAATATTTGATTTGCTTGAGCAGCCCCAAATCTGAAGACCATAAGTCCACAACGGTTTAATTATCATATTATAAATAAGGACCTTGTTTTCAAGAGATAATTTGGATCTATGTCCAATGAGCCAGCCGAGTTCTTTAACTCGCGTTTTCATTTGCTTAACTTTAGTGCAAATGTGATGTCGCCAGGTGAGTTTTTCGTCAAAGTGAATTCCAAGATATTTGATGGTGCTGACTGTTGGAATTTGATTGCCATTTAAGAACACTGCAGGACACGATTGTTTGTTAAGAGTGAAAGTAATGTGGCTAGACTTAGACTCATTGATGCCTATGTTCCACAGTTTGGTCCAATCTTCAATCAAATTAAGATGATACTGCAGTTTTAAACAAGCAGTACTAGGGTTGTCATCAGTGGATAAGATTGATATGTCGTCTGCAAATGTGGCGATTGTGGTAATAGATGTTGTAGGAATATCGCGCGTAAACAGGGTGTATAAGAATGGACCCAACACACTTCCCTGCGGTACCCCTGACTTGATAGGAAATACGTCAGACGACGAGGAATTAACCTTGATTATAAACTTTCTGTTGACAATATATGATGTTAAGATATTATGATACTTTACTGGTAAGTAGAGTCTAATTTTTGTGACGAGTCTGTCGTGGCACACTTTGTCGAATGCTTGTTTGACGTCCAAAAAGACGGCGGTGCAATATTGTTTGGATTCGAATGAGTTATAAATATGACTGGCAATCCTGTGACACTGCTGTATGGTTGAGTGCTCTTTACGAAATCCAAACTGGTGATCAGGGAAGATATTGGATTCCTTCAGAATATCTTGTAGTAACAGTTTTTCTAAAATTTTTGACAATATAGGAAGAAGGCTGATTGGCCTATAAGATGTGACTAAGTGTTGATCCTTGCCAGTTTTTGGAATCATCTTTATTAAAGAGGTCTTGAATTGATTTGGCCAGTAGTCAAGTCTCACAATAGCGTTGAAGATATAGGTGATTATAATGAATCCTTTTACAGGCAATTCTTTGAGCATTCTGGGAGATATTTGGTCTATTCCAGGCGATTTTTTTGCTTTAACTTTCTTTATTTCACTAACTACTAATTTGAGAGACAAGAAACGTTTCTCGCTTTCGTGACTGCTATTATGGTCTAAAGCAGGACTAATGTTGACATTATAATTTGATAAATTGTTAGGCCGAAAAACTGTAGCTAAGTATTCCGCAAATATATCTGCTTTGTCTTTGTCACTTCTTGCCCATGCAGAGGTCTGGGTATCCATACGAACTGGAGGATTTTGAAAGTTAGGTTTAAGTTTATTTTTGACGGGTTTCCAGATAGAATTGTCAAAACGATTCAAACTGATACATAGTTATTAAATCTCACTTGATTGAGTTCCTTTAACCTTGCTTTCAACTTGTTGCTCAGATTATTGAAAATGTTTTTGTCTGTGGGCAAATGACTATGTTGCCACCTACGCCTAGCTTTTCTTTTTTCTGCTATGAGCCTTTTATTTCATATGTTGTTGTCTGGCAGGAGTTTTCTGTCGTAACAAGAGTAGGAGTAGCAAACTTTGCAGCATCGTATAGAAGAGTATTAAAGGAATCGATGGTGTTTTCGATATCAGCGGAATTTTTAAGTTTAACTTTGAGGTTAACTTTGTCTTCTACGAACTTCCGGTAGATGTCCCAGTTTGTTTTATGGTTGCAGATCCTAGAGGAGGGTTTAAAAATACTTGCCGAAGTGCTTATGCTGGCTATTACTGGACTATGGTCAGATGATAAGTCGTAGCTTGCTCGTACTTCCTTGTGAATTGAGCTTATACCCGATGATACAAAAAAGTCCAATAGATCTGGTTTTTGGCAGGATCGCTCGGCCAGTAGGTGGGGGAACCTGAAGAAAGAACACTATAATTGAGTTTATGTATTGTATCATATAGCTGTTTTCCTTTGGGATTATTTAATCTTGAGCCCCAATTGACGTGTTTGCTGTTGTAGTCTCCGCCGGCGATGAAATGACTACCTAGTGTAGAGAAAAAATCTTGAAATTGTAAACTGGTTATATTGTGCCTCGGCGGACAATAGACTGCAGAAACACATAAGTTGAATGAATTCATTTTTAATGAAATTGATGTGGCTTGCAAAATTTCAGATTCGTATTTATCCAGTTCGTAATGAAGAAGATTAGATTTACAATAATGGCAGTCCCACCATGTGCGGTGCCATCGGGATGGTTAGTGAAGTATGTCTTGTAATTTGGTATATAAAAGTTTGAATACTTGGTGAAGTGTGTTTCACTAATTAAAAAGATGTCGATATTGTTGTGTCTCAAAAATAATTCTACTTCGGCTTTGTGTTGATACAAGCCGTTAGCATTCCATAATCCTAAGTTTAAAATATTAGCCATTATTTAGCTTTATTAATGTTGATTAATGTTGATAACATTTTGACAATCATGGTGTTTTGTTCCATTAACTGGCTAAACATATTTCTAAATTCAGTCAGGAAATCAGACATCGATGGAGAATTACTGTTGTTAATGTGATTTTGATTGTTGTTAAATAGGTTTGATTGCGATTTTATTACCTGAGCATAAGACATATGCTGAGGATTTGCGTACTGAGAAATTCTATTGTTGTGAAGGTTGGATTTGTACCGGTTTGCATTTGTGTGTAAATAAGTCCCGTTACTTCTGCCTATTGTTGCTTGATCGTTATCTGCACCGACAAGGTGAAGGTAGTAAGAACACCCTTTGTAGTTTGCGGTATGATTATCGCCGCAATGATAACAAAGGGGCGGGGCTTCAGCTGCTTTTGTACACTTTTTAGACTCATGATCAGAGCCGCATTTTACACATATAAATCTGCGGTTGCAATAACGCTGGGTATGGCCGTACATTTGGCACCTTACACACTGCGGAATATTAGATGATCTTATTGGGGGCTCAAAATGAATTATTTGGTTTAACATTTTATTCATTTTAAAAATTGACGAATTGTTTTCTTTGGGTTCTAAGTCTATGTAAAACATGTTCAGCAATTGTTTAGTTTTCGGATGTATGATATTAGTAATATTTCTGACAGGATGACCTTCTTTTTCAATTGCGGCTTTGATATCATTTTTATCTGTGGCGTAGTGCAGATATTTGAGTACAACCCTGTATGAGCGTTCCGCTTTTATCTGGTAGGTATGAAAACGACGTCTCTTTCACGCAGAAATTTAACAAAATTGCGGTAGTCTTCTATTTCAAAAATGTTGAATTTAATAGTTTTATTGGGTAGGTATTTAGTGATGTATTTGTTTTTATTAATAATTGAATTAATATCCGCTATCATAAGATTGTAATCTCGAACCCCGTAGACAAATAAAGGCGGAGGAGTAGATTTTTATTATCTGTTGCCTCGTCTGATGGTTTAGAAACTTTGTTTTCTAGAGCGCTGAATTTGTTGGCTAATTTTATGGGAACGCTTTCATTACTTACTGCGTTGTTCGGGCGACGTCTTTTAGCGGAAGTTACCTCTTGCCATGGGTTTTTATTCGTGTAATCAATCACATCGCGTGCAGTGGACTCTGGATCCATTGTTGCTATTGAAGACAAATTACTTGTTGATGGAATGGGAGTGGATCCGACGATGTTGATCTGTTTACTGCATCATCGTTATTTCTTTTTGTAGTCATCTGGTTCAGAACTAGTTGAGTAGAATTATTTTGGTCTTCGTGAATGATGTTAAATGATTCCACAATTGGT